TTGTTCCTAGAGTGGCCCTGGGAAACAAAGCCTAGACAGAACACGAAGCTAATAATTTAGCAGTTGATACCGATCACAAAATAAACATTTAATTTGTTTTTACTTTGTGGGTTGAAACATAATTTTCATTATTTCGTTGGTGTAATTTTGAAATAATTCATTTACTTTTTTTCTCCTACTTGCAAATATGAACTTATCTGTAGTGTAGGAAAATTACTTAAGCAATTGAACATTGCGAAAAAACGACATAAAATGTGTATTGCTTTCACCAAATTTCACCCATTTGCTCCAGCCATTAGATGTAGCTTACTTCCGGCCTTTAAAGACGGCATGGTAAAAAGTGTCAGAAAAGTGGAAACTACCAAATAGGGGCGTCTTACCAAAGACCTTGTTTCCGAAGCTGTTAAACGAGGTTGGTGCTAAGTCAAAAACAAAAACAGAAGCGGGCTTCAAGTCCTGCGGCATTTTACCATTTAATCCCGAAGCAGTTTTGAAAAAAATAGCACATCTTCGCACACCACAAGAAGAAGAACGTCAAGATGAGAACATGGCTTGGACAAATACAATTGTTGAACATTTAAGGGAAATGAGAAGGAGGGAAAACGGCTTCAAAACGAGATAAGAAAATGAATGTGCCTTCTGGAAAAAGTGTGTCAAAAAGTGTGTCTGTAGTAGATCTTTTACCGACATTAATAAAACCTGAAGAAAATGAAAAATTGGATGAAAATAATGAACCCCATCCAGAACTTTCTAGTGATGAGAGAGAACATCTCTCAGAAAATGAAAAAGAAAGTTCGGAAGAGGAGGAACAAGTGTCAGGGACAGAAATGGAGGAAACAGTTTCAAAAAATAACAAAGATGACTGGGAACCTGGAGATTTTGTTATAACACAGTTTCCAACAAGCAAAAGAGTTCTAAATTATGTCTGTTTAATAATCGACATGAAAAAAGATGGTGAACAGTGCACAGTCAGCTCGTTAAGAAAAAACAAAGAAAATTTCTTTATATGTATATCCGGATATTTCGGATATTTCCACCGTTCAAAAGAATCAAATTATTAAAAAACTAAGTCCAAAAGAAGAGGAAACTACAGTTTTAAAAATATTTCTACTCTCGTTCTACAATAATTGAATTTCGTTTATTTCATATTTTTGCTGTTTTTGTATTTTTTGTATTTTTTTTTGTTTAGATGGTTGTAATTATCACCATTAGCAAATTTTATTATTTTGAGACTTACCGTCCGTCGACAAGTCGCGTTATTTATATAAAGCCAGCTCTGTATTAGTAGTTTCTAGACGATCTCGAATGTCTGAGAATTCCATCTTTATGAGTCAACGGCCACGTACCGCTTTTTCTGATAGTTTCGAGAATTGGTGCGTTTGTCTCTATATGACCAGCGCTAGATTTCATACCGCGGGCAAAGTACAAGGACGGCTTCGTGTCACAATAATTATTCATTGTTAACCCTGATTGGGGTTAATTTAGCTATTGTAGGGAATTTTGGTGACACCAGAGCTGTTCAACAACGATGATTAAAAATAAAAATATACAGAATTTAAAGTTGACATGTTTGACCTTGAACCCTTGAACTCGTGCAAAAAATCAACAATCCCTATAATATGAATTTTTAAATGCAAGGTTATTGGCTCTATCAAAATAAAAAGAAATTTCATACGTCACGACATAAATAGTGATTATTTTCGTGTTTTTTTTTATACGGAGTGGCCCAAAAGTCTGGAAACGGCCAATTATCTTGTAAATTACTAGTCCTAATTGTACAAAATTTGGAGTACACCTATTTTGGGATACGGAGATTTCAGATTTGATATTTTCAATGTTGCCAGATTTGCCGTTTCTCTTATATTATAAGTCACTTTGGTTTTTAAAATTGATCACCTTGTACATTTAGTCATTATTGAAATCTCCTATTCAATACGAGTTCAACCATATGTAACACTTATGATTTTGTGTAGTCTGGAAGGTCTCAAATAAATAAAACAATCATGGAGAATAATGTGGTATACGCATTCTACTATCAATTAGGGTACTGTCAACTCACAAATGGAGCACATTTTGAACACTTGATAAAGTTACCATTATGTTAAAAATATTGTAATCTTTCAATTGTTACGTCTAATGTAGTTGAAAATAGTTTGTATTAAAAAATTTATTGAGAGAATTCTGAAATGAACGAAGTGGTGTCGACCCTTTAGTTGGACCGCTGTTGAATATTTTGTACTACAATGGGCCATGTTCACATGTAAGATATGCTGTTTTATAAATTATATTGTAATAGTTATTCTAAATAATCAGTTCGTTAAAAAAGCCAAAAGTTTTTAAATTAAGACCAATTGAAATTTAAAATTTGAAATTATACGTCATCGGGAATAGACCAATCAGCTTGTGTCGAAGTTTTTTTTGTTATACAAAACCAAGCCAACGAACAAACCGACACACAGAATGTCGAAGTGAACGCACCTCTAAGTGACATTAAAATTGACATCACCTAACCTAACATTAGTTTTTACCATATGATTACCAAGATGATTTCTGCTTTTTTTAACAATACTCGGTTTACAAAAGACAGAAAGGTAAGACTTTATTTATATTTTTTTGTTTTAATGGTAGGTAGTTACAGTTTATATGGAGCAATACACCTTATAGTAAAACATAATATATCATGTTTACCTCAAAAATTAAAACTAAATAATATCTAAAAATGTATTTAGAAGGGTAGGGTGCAAGTATTTACTGCAATACGGTTTTTATTTGGTTAAAAATTACCTACTTGCTACATATCATTGTAAATAATATTGTAATTTAAGTACATTTTTGTATATGCATAGTTACTTTTTGAAATGGTACATACACTCTTTTATTATGTTTATGTTTTATGAAATAATTTGGAACACAGAAAAATAATAAAAATTAGTAAAAATATCTAATAATTAGGCCAAATAGTAGAGTAGGGCTCTTGAAAATATTAAAAAATTAATCACTTTATTAAATAATGTTTTATTTTTAGATCTGCCAAGCAAAACTATGGAGATAATTACTTTTTCCATGTACCCCTTAAGAGAGAAGAAGATATTTGCACAGTAAAAGGACAAATTACACCAAAACATAAAGTAGGGCAAAAACCTTATGAACATTGTGGTTATTGTAATGAACAAAAATTAAATTTTTAGTGCACAATGCTTACACAATGCTCCATCTCAAGGTTTGCAATATTTATTATGCTTTTTTGTTTTTATATCACATATAATAAACAGTGTATAAAGTCCTTTATTCCTATAAATATTTTTTTCTAATTTTGACATATAAAGAGACATTTTTTGTAATCGCAGCAAGTGTTAAAATAATCTAGGAATAGATTTTGTTAGTGAACCTAGTAATAATTAGGATACCAAAGAATGCTGCAGAGCACCTATGAAATTTTGAGTTAAAACATATGCGATATTTTTAGGCTATTTTTATACCCTTTTCAAAAATTTTATGCTCCTTGTTTTCTGCAAAACTCAAAATGCTCTGATAGCTTTAAACGAAGTCAGCAAAGCACCTCTGTTTTATAAAGTTTTTTTTGTTTAAAAACAGCAACACCTTATTTTTATGCACTTGAAATATCATTAAAAAAAAATGATATTTTTAAAAAATACATGGTGCTTGCTAACCTTCGAAAGAAGCCAGTAGAGCAATTCGGTTTTTTAAAGCTTTTTTCTAAAAACCACACCCCATTTTTAGACTCTTGAAATATTGTAAAGAGAAATTCCCTAACCCTTCTTATAACCCTTTCCACATGTATTCTTAGAGATGCTATTCTTTTACTTAATTGTACATTTTCTGGAGCACTTTTTTCATTCTGTGATACACTAGGTGGCCTTACTAAAGTGCATCCCATGTTTTTAAGTAATGACTGAATATTCTTAAACCCCCTATCTGCAATTATATGGGATCCAGGAACCAGTTTGTTTAAATACCCACTTTAGGTTATACACCTAAGAATTTATAGTAGCCTCATTTTGAATTTCCTGAAGGAGACAATTAGCAGAAATTGCTGCTACATCTTGAATATCCGGTGTATTTCTTTCCAAATTACTAGGAACACTAATAAATATTTTTGAAGATGAATGTGAATCATTATCACATTCTGGAACAAAATACTTTTTCGTAGTCATAATATTTATTTATAAAAAGTACAAAATAAACACTCAAATTCCAAATAAATTATTGATCGAGACACTATGACAGATGACATACAGTGCTGCCGTTTTGCCATTTTCTGAATTATTAAGTGACTTTTAAAATAATGAAACTTCAAATATGGTAAAAGTTTAAACAGAAACAATACTTTCTAAAAACATTTGATATTATATATTTACAAGATATTTGTTTAACGATGTTTTAGAAGTCTAAAAGTAAGAAGGAGTACACAAACGAACGTACATCATTTGTCGTAAACCTTCCAACCGGCAACGTTGTAGCGCTAGCTCCTATTGGTCTATTCCCGGTGACGTCAATAATTTTAAAAAAATCATAACTCTGGCAAATGAATAGATAAAAAAAATAAAAAAAAATGTAGCTTTATTTTCGTCTCTATTATTCATAATAAAAAAATTACAATTTTTGAACATGCCCCATTATCATGTAAAAGGGTATTCTAGTGTTATCTGTGAGTATATTAATGGCGGTAATCGCAACCTTAATAAATATCTTCTTTGCTTTCATCAGTGAAATATTTTTTTTTTTCAGAATAAACCGTCTTCGGGTAAACATTCACACCAGTTTAAAAACTTTCAGAGACATTACAAGCACTTGGTATATTTTTTAAATTGCTTTTTCTTGTTACATTATGTTAGAAGTAAACAAACAACTACCAATATTTAATTTTTTAAAAGTACTAGGAAAATAATAAATACTAACTATTACCATTGATAAAAAAAGACTAAAGCACGACCAAAGTCTAAAGGACAATGTGGATTTTATACAAATCGATAACCAAACGAGAGTATATCGATAATGGTACCATAGTTTGAATCGAGCCTTAATGTGAGTTTTTCTATTGGTCTAAAAAAATGTGTTTTCAATTGTAAAAATCGATTAGAAAAACTAAATTATTCAAAAACAATTCACGTTACAATTTACTTAAGATATTGTAAGTGCTCAATCCTACTTAGTCGTACCAAATTCATAATTTTAAAAGATTCTTAAAATTTTATTTGAATCCAAGCCTGTAGGTATATCTGAATAAACATATTTTATATCAGAGACTAATCAAATTATATTTCAAATATTTTTGATCCGTAATTAAATATAAGTGGCATAAAACAGTATTGTTTGCATTAAATATCTAATCATTTTTCCAATTTAGTCATAAAATGACGACTAATAACTTAATTCGTATAAAAGATTATGAAGCAAATGCAAAAAAATTATTACCAAAGGCGGCCTTCGAATTTTTTGGAGAAGGTACAGGGCACGAAGACACATTAAAAAATAACTTGGAATCTTATAAAAGGTAAGATTTTCATTAATATGTGTATGCTTTCTCGCATGTTCTACGGGTCTTATATACAGCAAACATATGACAATAACACGTTTTTTTAAGTAGTATATTTTATGCCAGAGTTACTTATAAATAAGAAAAAAAAACATATTTACAAAATTTTAAACAAATATGTATTAATATTAAGTAATATTATTTTTGCCATATTACACCAGGCAAATACAAAAAACATTTAAAAACGCAATAAATAAAGTAGACGAGTCTATAGTTTATTTAAAAATGAATGAAAGCAATATTTTCATGACCCAGGAGATAAACCTCAATATAACATCATAAATCAGTGAATTTCTAAAATAAAATGTTTAGCAATATTTGTTTCAAAATAAAATCTTTGGTTTTCTTCCTAAAATTTTTAAAAATACCAATTTATTTCAATTCTTGTGTTAAATTTCCATCAACAAAAACAAGGTAAATATGCAATCTCTACAGGTAGAAAATATGGTATTTTCCTGTTTCGCCACGAAAAGGAAATTTACCTGCTTTAGTAGCGTTTTTCCACGACAATCAGATAACGTAGCACGTCAGTGCAGATTCGCCACACTTCCTTTCTTCTATTACTGCAGTAAGGCTATCAATCCCCAATGTGTACGCACATTTCGGTCATAATTACCTTCGATTTCATAGGAAAGATACTCATACATTATACAACTAGACGACTGAAAATTTTCGATTATACGAGACGTATTGCCTGAAACACCACGAGACCGTAGGTCGAGTGGTGTTTTGTTAGGCAATACGTCGAGTTTCGGAAATTTTCAGTTGTCGAGTTGTATACAGATAGACTGTAGCACGAAATTATTAAAAAAAAATAAAAATAATGAAAAAAAAAAAAGAAAAATAAAGAAAAAAAGAAAAAAAAAAGTTTCCTAGGGGAATCGAACCCTGGACCTTGCGATTGCAGAGCGAGAACTCTATCGCTAGACCACCTGGATAATTTAAATAATATTTCTATTTATATATATATATATATAGTAGGTAGACAGCAATCTACTAAATTTCAAGTTATTTCAAGTTCTATTTACCTACAAAAAAGTTCATGAAATGAAAATAAAAAGTACATAGGTAATTTGTTTTATTTAAATTTATTTATTACTTATATTGAACGTACAATTATTAAAAACATTATTTGACATTGGAGCCACGGCACTTGTAGAGCAAAGAGTGGAGGATGTTGTAGTTGTCTCATTTCTTAAATTTGATATAATGTTCTTATGATGGTCCTCATTTAACTGCAGGTATGGTTGTATTGAATGCTCTGAAGTATGACCCGTAATTTTAATAATTTCTTGGACACTAGTGCCTGCTTTTGATAATCCACTTATTGCGGTCGATCTGTTAGAATGATTGGTTATTTTTACCTTTTTTGTATCGATTCCTATAGCTTCTGCAGACAGTTTTGTCCATTTATTAATTTCGTTTACTCCAAGTGGACAATTTTTATACCAGCAACTAGTCGGATATTTGTCCCAGTCTTTATTTACAGTAAGAAATAGACGTCTGGTTTTTATATTTTTGGTCCGTTTGCTCATCATTTTATTGTACAATCTAACAGGACAATGAGTGGGGTTTTGTGTATTTGGAGTTAACCATTTACTATCAGTAGTTTGTTGATTTCCTCCTTGGGCAGTTTTGGAAAAAACAGTATTATATTCAATACGTCCTGTTTTCTTGCCGTAGTTGTCTGTTTCTTCCACAAAATAGTCTAAAAGAGCTGACACAGCCTCACCACCACGCCAGGCTAGTTCTATGGCTGCAATATGATAAAATTTACGCTGGAGTCCGGAGGGTGTATTTTCATCTAATGCATTTAGAATTTTCTCAATATCTTCAATATTTAATGCAATAGAGCTACTCTTTCTTTTTGACGGAATAGCTTGAAGTTGTTTGCGTTTGGCGTTTTTCGCGAGTACCGCAGTGCGAAAAACAATATCTTTAAATGGATCGATGGTGCGATTAAACTCTTTGAAGTATTTCTGCTGCACTCTTTTGGCAGTAAGATTCCAAATAGTTTTCACTACACCTTCCTTGTAGTCGGTGCCGTCGGCTTTTCTCATGTTGATTGCCCAATCTTTAAGAATGTTGCAAAGTTCTTCATTAGAAGTATTTTCAGTTAACTGATAACTGCGGTCATCACAAAACTTTTCAAATTGTCGCGAAACGAATGATTCGGTTTTTACCGTGTTGGTTGGTTTACTATTTTCAATAATTTTATCAATTAATTCCGTAGAAATATTGCTAAACCGAGCCATGATCAAAATTGACAACTGTCAAATTTTGAAATGGAGATCACAGTTACCTATCCCTCGAGTTTTGACATAAGTGAATATTCGAACTCTTGTATATTCGATTATACAAGGGTTCGAATATTCTATCTGCGTCATAATAAGTAAATAACCGTTGTAATACATGATAACTATGGAAAATCGAGCGTTTTCATTGGTTCATATTTCAATGAGTGGTATAGTCAACATAATCAGTTCATAGAATAAAACGCAGTTTTTGTACTTAACAAAGTTATACATAAGAACATATTTCAAATTATAATTTTAATTAATTACAAATAGGGTTGTTTATTAATAAGTGATCGGGTATCAGGTGTAACAACTTTATGTCGAGTTTGTCAATGCAAATATCTATTTTAAAGTGCATTGGGTATTAAAAGATTATAATGTGTCGAGGTTGATGCCGTCTTAAATTCTGGAAATTGTGTATTAACAAGTATACAATAATACCTATTAAGAAAATTGGGACCTATTTAAGTACCAATTTACTAATATTATTAATAAATTATATATTTATTATAGTAATCATTGATTACCAAGCTCTTGTCTATACAATGGGTTCAATTTAAATATTTGAAATTTCAGTATCATTCTGTACCCTGATATTAAACTGTGAACATCGAACAAAAACTGCGCGAGAATGACAATTAATGGAGTTTCTTGAAACTAAAAGAGGTCGTCCAAAACTCACCTACTTAGGTTATAATTATAACCATTTACGAAGTAATAAGGATGGGTCTATAACCTGGAGATGTACATGCCGAAAGTTTTGTGATTATTTAACTTCTTGCCAATCAACAGTTATACGGCAAACAGAGCATAATTGCATTCCAAATCAGGCTAGTGTGGAAGTAGAGAAGGCGTTAATGATATGCAGAAAACGAACTGGAGAGGAACTGACCCCAATTCCTCAAATCTTTAATCAATCTTTCGCTACTGTTAAGGACGCTGGCTTAGATTTTGTGACTGAAGTTCCGTCATTTCTATCCAAGAAAAGTGCTCTCTACAAAGAACGACGAAAGTCAATTGAAGCTGTGAGTTTCAAAAAATCTTCAGATATAATTCTACCACATAATCTTGCGGATAGTTTCGTAGTAGTTGATGATTTAACGGATAATGCCAGCAAAAAAGGAATAAGCAGTATTGTTCAAAGCACCACGTTTTTCGGAGATGGAACTTTCAAAAGTTGTTGTAAGCAATTTTCCCAAGTTTATACAATTCATGCTGACATATGCAGTACATACGAAGCTACATCCATAGTGCCTGTTTTCTATTCTTTACTGCCGAATAAAAAAGAGTCCACATACAAACGACTATTTAGATTAATAAAAAGAGAAATTCCTGAATGGAATCCGATTTACTTCAAAATTGATTTTGAAATTCCAGTATTAAATGCTTTTCGCGAAGTGTTTCCTGATGCCACATTAAAAGGTTGTAACTTTCACTTTAATCAATGTCTTTGGAGGAAAGTTCAATCACTGGGATTGTCAAAGGAGTATGTAGAAAACGTTGACGTAAAGGAAATGTGCAGCATTGGCCCATATGCCTCCCACTGCAGTCGACGATGGATGGCTATATATTATGGAGGAATCCCCGCGGTTAAGTACTATTGAAGAATTTAACAATTATTTTGTCAAGCAATGGTTAGCAAATGATATAATAGGTGATATGTGGTCGTGTTTTAATGAAAGACATCGTACTACCAATGCTTTGGAAGGTTGACATAATCGTCTTAATCGTGCAGTTAGGAAATACAGTCCGAACATCTGTGAACTAATGTACCATTTAAAAAATGATAGTTAGTTTTATGGTTTTATTATTGATCAGGTAAATTTTAATATAACCCCAAAAAAAGAGATCCAAACATAATATTAATATTGATTTTATAATTAAAAGCACTTTTGATAAACTTTTAAATAATGAAATTAATATTTCTGAGTGCATAAATAAACCTAAATATGTTGTTAAATTAAATTAGATTTATTATTTGTATAAATGTCAAATGTAAATAAAGGTAAATTTGAAACAATTTTTTTCTTTTTTTTTTCTTCTGATGTTGTCGAAGGTAAAAGTTTATTTTTCAATCTAGACAGGTAAACAAAATAACATGCATAGCGAAAGAGCACTTGTTAGAAAATATGCAAATTATGCGTGGCGAAACAGCACTTTTTTTATTGCCGTGGCAAAACGACACGTGGCGAATGTGGAACAATCCGAAAATATTTACAATACAAGATCAATTTAAGTAGCCCTCAACTTTCTTAGAAAGGATTAAGATTTCTAATCGGCAGAAAGTAATATGCAGGTTGTAAAGTATTTTAGTTAAGTATAGTAGTTTTTATAGGCATGTGATTGTAACACGCAGAATTGTTAATTCTGTAATAATGGGCGATAAAAGGCGATATCGATCAAGTGAATTTGTGCAAATAAAATGTCACAAATATCTAATTATACTTTCTGCATTTGGACATCACTTGAGGCTTAATCAACATAATTTTAGCCCAACAAAAAACTCCAAATTATTAGTCAACTTGAACACAAAACATTTCAACTTATTAGATTTCCATGAAGATGTTGAAATTACCCTTGAAGGAGACAACAATATCCTTTGTCTCTACACTCAAGTGAACCGTTTCATACCACTTCATAGACAACTCTATGATGACGTAA